GAATCATTTGTTTTTATCTTTTCCCCATTAGTCTGTTGGACTACATTTTTTCTTTTGGATTTGTAGGAGTTTAAAAAATTTTTATAGCCAACCCTTTACTTTTTTGTCACTGATATCTTCTTTAGTTATTTATCTTTTAAGTTTGTTTACGGTGTGATATTAATTTTGATGGAGGAAAATGCATCAGTGTTTGCTAGGATTTGGTTAAGAAAATTTGGCTAAGAAAATCAAAGGCACAGCCACTGTATGTTCCACTCTGTCATTATTATTTTTTAAGATTTGAAGTTGAGGTGTCAGTGGGAAATTTGAGTAGAATTATGTAAATGGCAGGTGAGTGCTTCAGAATGGAGTGGAAGTCAAAACCAAACTTGAGATAGAGATTGGGGGTCTCCAGAGGGGACGAGGAGGTTGAACCACCGGCATGGATGAGACTGTCAGGCAGAAAGCATGTGAAGAGAGGTGGGCCAGGGACACTGACATTAGCAGCAGTGAGCATGAGACCGGAAGGAAGGATCGAGAGGGAGGAGGAAAACCAGGGAACGAGGGGGGAAAGAAACTAAGAAAGACAAGCTATAAGAAGGCGCAGGAGCCTTTGGGTCAATGTGATACCCACCAACCTATACTGTCCCAGTCACTTATTTGTCTATTATTTTCCAGGAGATGACATCACAGAGCAGGCACCGGGGTTTATTCACGTTTATATTCCTAGAACTGAATGGGGTCCTGCCCATAGTGACATTTAATAAAATCTATCCAACATCTAATAAAATCTTCAAAGTTTGTTGAATGAATACATTTTGAAATCTTCCTCTTTCCTTGAACCGATTTGTCAAAGAAAATCTTACAACTGACAGAACTGGCTAGGAATTGTGGGAAGGCGCTGTGACCTTTTGCTCGCAGGGTATTAGCTAAAATGGGAGAACTGCCTTGGACAAGCCTAGGTGGCACCACAGAGGCTCAGCTGTCTCAGCTGTGCTGGGAGGACTGTGGCTGTGTCCGCAAGTGCTGGCTTCTCTTTAATGCACGGGCAGCCATTCCGAAGCTTCAGATTGGCCATCGTTCTCCTGGTATTAGTTAGCTGGCGGGTTTACGGAGCACCTTTCCATGAACAGTCTGTCTGAGGATTGTCTGTGCAACCCAGTCCATGGGGTAAAAGAATTGAGTCATTCATAAGATAGTCTGTACCCCAGCCCATGGTGCAATTTCTCATTTGGGGTATAATCCTATACAATAAAAGCCTAATATGCTAATTGTCCCCTTGACTGGAAGTTTGACCAGGCAATGGGCTGGCCAGCCAACCTCCTGTGTCCCTTCCCCCGAGCTGGTCCGGCCCAGATCAGCCCCAATCAGGGCCGGGCCAGCCAGACCCCACCCGTGCATGAATTCGTGCACTGGGCCTCTAAGTCATAGACACACTGGCCTAAATGTGCATAAAGGTGGAGAGGAAAGAATTCCATTCCTCCTGGGTGCTTTAACAAGCATCTCGTGTTAATCCATGAACTCAGGAGAGCTCAGTGTCCCTGGAAAGGGGAGGGATGATTTTTTTTTTTAGGAGAATTGGGGAATGACAGAGAAAGGAAGGAGTAGGTAGAAAAAGTTTAAGGTCATAAGCAGGACAACAACAGTGAAATGTCATAGGTAATGACTAAGTAGCAAAGTTGAAGCCCGAGAGAGGTGAAAGCAGCAAGAAGGAGGGGCAGGTGATGTAGTTTAGACCAGTGGTCACCAACCTTTCAGACCTCATGGACCACCAGTGGTCCACGGGCCACCGGTTGGCGACCGCTGGTTTAGATTGAGTGCTAGGGCTGGAGGTTCCAGGTTCGCTGAGAGGGGCAGGCCAGGTAGGACCACCAGCAGGTCCTCCTCCCTCCCTGTCCAGAAACTGGGACAGAGGGGCCTGCATTGGCTCTCCCGTCCGCCCACACTTCCCAGAGATCCCATGTGGACACGCTGCGAGTTCACATCCAAGCTAACAGAGCACACACACGCAGATGTTGCAGACAAATTAAAATTTACTGAGACAGACAGAAATGCACCTACTCGGGACTACAGGTAAGCAGTTACTATTAACCAAAGAGTCATGTTCACATTCCAGATAACTCTACGTCGAAAAGCATTCAGAATTTACTAGTTTTCTACATCACTATTTCACCTACAAGAGGGACAGCAAACTGACACTTGGGATTTGGTGGCTTTCATTACAATGCTACACACTGAACAGGGACACACATCAGCGACTTTGAGAAAAAGGTATAAAAAGACCAAAACCACTCACTGTAGAAAGGGCTCTGGGATGTTACTGTACAGCGTGGCCAACGTAAAAACAAAAGAATGGAATCCTGGGAGAGGCAGAGGGCAGACCTGGGCAAGGCATGGTCATTCCCTGCTGGGCCTGGGGAATGGGCCCAAAGAGGGGAAACTGATCCAAAACCTCACATTCTGTATGAAGGGGCTTCCATGCCTAGAATATCTGTGGAAACAAAAAGACATTGATGTGGCAAACACCTAAGCATGATGGGAGAAAATTCTGGGATTTAAGTTGGATGCTAAGGAAATGGTATTAAATAAGAGAAGTATTTATGGAATAAGAATAAAACTATTAACAAAGAAGTTTCCAAAAATGAGTGAGGATTCAATGCCTGTCTCAAACAAGGGACTAGATGATCCAGAAGTATTTTTATAATAATTTTTATGGATGCCTTGTCACTAGCTAAAGGACTCCTGCCAAAGAAAGGATGTAAGGCTAAAGTAACTAAAAAATCTAATCTTCAGTGCTTTTCACAAGTAAAAATCATTAAATATTTTAAAGAATGTAACGCTGCCATGCCAATGTGAGGCACGAGAAGTGGTGCTAATGGGGCTCCGCTGTCCTGGGGCTCTCCTGGTAGGAGGGCTTCTTATTTCATATTTTAATGAATCAAATATCTTCTTGGAATGCCTCTGAAAATGAGCATCTCAGCACCTTCCTGGGAACTGACTCCTGAGCACTCTTCTCCATCATTAAGTTAATGTCAAGGAGCTTTAAGTGTCATCTTTAATTTGACACTTGTCATAAGATAATTAGTTCCTCTAAGGGAAATCAATTTGTTGATTTTAATTTTTTCTCTCGTGCATTGTCCCAAGCTCGGAGGAGACAGTAACAATGGTTTACTTTGAGGGTCTAAACTGAGATTTTTTTTAATGTCTTCTTTTATATACTCTCTTGTAATTTAGCTGCAATTAAACACCCATTTTCTATATTATGATCTCAAAGTTTTGTGCAAGTTAGGAAAATAATATTGACAGGGAGGTGATGGAGTTGAGATCTGAATACCGAGCTTGTGTGTAGCCTCCCTACATCTAGGACCTAGGGTCCTGGCTATCATTGCATCTATCGGGCCTAAGGGATTCGCTACATCAGGCTTGTTCACTCCCCATCTGAGCCTAATGCCACTTTGTCCAGGTTGGAAAAGGCTAGTTGAGGTGGGTGGGAAAAGTACAAAGAAATGGGCATTTTGGGGTGGACAGTTGGTCAGCTGCCACTGCGATCATGGTTTGGCTGAATACATTTTTTGCCTGAGTTTAAGTGTTTTTGTGGACTAGCTGGAGCTTATGGGGAAGGGAAGAAAAACAAATGTGGGGTAGAGAGCCTTGCTGGGTGGCTGGTGGGGCAGCCAGGTGGATAGGCGCTGAAGGGCCTGCACTGAACTACATGGGCCACGTTGAAGACTGCTCTTTGGTACTCATCCTGGAGTCTGGGCCAGCCCAACGGGGGCGGGGGCGGGGTTGGGGGGGGAGACCATGGCAATGACGACCCCACCAAATTTTATTTAGGGAAAGAAGCACAGATGGTGAAGGGCTTTCTTCATTAGGACCTTGACACTGATGTGGGTGAGGGTGTGGAGACAGGACTCGCTCGCAAAGTCCAACCCTCACTTCCATGTGCTACTCTGAAGCTCTTTCTAGGCCTCTGGGGGGGATCCTGTACTGCTGTGTCTCTCATCATGATTTGTGGATGGAATTGGGGGCAAAAGCTAAACCTGGAGTTCAGAATCCCAAATTTTCTTCTAAGAATTACGTGTACTGTCTGTCGGCGAGCAGGGGCATGTGGACATGCCTCGGAAAAGCCCTTGGTAGGCAGGGGAGGCGGGGCCCTGGGCAGACAGGATGCTGCGCCCGGGGCTTCGGGTGGAATGAGAGAGATGGCTTGTGAAGCTGCCCACATGGAGCCGCATGGCTTGTGCAGGACAAGTGATTCGGCAGACAGAGGCCCATCCAAGTCAAACAGGCTCCGGGAAGGAACCTCCTCCGCCTGCAGCTGCCAGTGCCAAGTGTCAGTGCAAACACGGGCTTGGAGACACTTTATTCCGGAATTGTGATCCAGGTTGGACAGGCTGACAAATTGGTCATTGTTTTCAAATGAATTTTTAATAGACAGCCAAACAGTTTTCTGAGCGGGTGTGAGCCTGGCTTACGGTCTCTCTGTCCATGTGTACATATTTACACACACACAGAGAGAGAAGCGTCCAGACACCATTTTTAACAAAGAAAACCAGTTGCCCAAAAGGATTCTTGACTGAATTAAGGCCGTTGTTTGTAGGAAGCCAGATACAGTGATGGGAGTAATTAATTTTTAGCAACAAACAGCAGGGGCAGCGGGCGCAGGGGGATAAAGGACAGTGT